TTGGAAGAAAAGTGACTGTTAGAGGGAGAAAAGAAAAAGAGAGAGAGAACTGTATTTACCATGTCCTGCGGTTTTTAAAAATTCTTTGTCATGGAGTCTTTCAGATATAATAGATGCATTTCCTTTTTTTGTTCCATAGTTTCCTGCTAGCTTTAATTAAAAAAACAAAACAAAACTGCAACTGATTGCAAGGATGACACTCCTAATTACACAGAAGCTTTACTTTGATTTCTAAAGGTATTTTGCAAACCTTCAAATGTAACATAAAATTTTTGTATTTCTTGATGGCAGCATGCCTATTGCTGTCCAAGACTTCCCGGTTGGTTGTTACCGTGCTGCAGACTGCTGAACTGTGCCTGCTTGGGGTTCTGTTTCTTTCTCCCTTCTTCATGAATTTCCATGGAAGAAACTCAGTTGACTTCTTCAGGATCATCTCTGTCCTGCCTTGCAATCGCATAAATCAGAGTTTTGGCATGCTTTTTTTTCCTGTATGCTTGCACTGTATTCAAAGTGCTCTTGACAGTAAGTGCAGAGCTATTTTGTCTTACTTCTGTATCTCTAAAATAAACTGTTGAAGAAAACTATTAATAAAGCAGCAATTAAGCTAGTGAAGCTTCAAAATTAATGTCACTCTTTTAACTCTTTAGCTGTATTACATTGAACTATAAATAACTTAAGGAAAATGAATGGGAAAGCAGATGGTGCCAAGAATGCTGTGCAATTGGCAGAGCAACCAAAAATTGTTTAAATTTGCTTATGCCCCAGCAGGTCTCTGCAAACACAGCCTAAGTTAGCTTGGTTTTGAAGTAAGCTTAAGAAAAAGTAATTTCACTGGAAAACAGACCACAGAAAAGAGTAATAAAATCATGTGTTGTTCTAACAATTATGAGAGAATATATTCCTTTTTCTAATCCCAGATTCTCACTTTCATGCTTAATTTAACTTGAAGGCAATTTTTCCATTGTATCAGATTTGTTTTTCAGGATTTAAAACTCCAAATAGAAATTTTTAGAAATGCAAGAATTTCCCTGAAGCATTTGCAAAGCAAATACTGTGGAATGGTATTGGCATGATATGAAAAAGTTTAATCAATTATTGTGTTCTCATTGCTGTGGTTGGCATGTGTAAAGTTAAGGATGTCAGTAGTGGTAAAAGGGCAAGTTGGATTTTTAGTAACTAATTTAATTATTTGAAGTAATTCCAGGCAGGCTCTGTAGTGCTAAGTGGTCTGTGATTACTACTTTGGCCCCCAAAAATAGTGCATTTAAAAATTATGTTAAAAACAAACAAACAAAAGTAGTTGTCCCGTATGTGATTTTGGAGGTGGGGGTGGTGGTGCCTTTGGAAATCCTCCCCCATCCATCCCCACAGTTTTTCTCTGCAAGCACAGTTCCCTGGAAATGCACTTTTTGGTTTGATCCTTTTGATTGACAGGTAAAAGATTGGAGGAACTGGGGCTTTCGTCATGAGCGTGAAATTTTGCAGTGTCTGTGGTGGCTTCTTGTTGCCCGGTTCAGCCCCGGTGTAAGTATGGTGTGTGTCTTCCTAACTTATTGTAGCACTTCAGAAGTGCTTGCGTGTATGTGTTTTGTTTTGACAAAACACAAGCAACTGTAGAAAAAAATATATATTTTCAAATCTGTAGTTATCCAAGACGTCTTTTTTTTGTGTAACATAATCTGTATTTATCTGCAGTGCTGAGCAGCTCTTCAGTTGAAGGAAAAAGCCCCACACCCTCTCTTTCTTTTTGTTATTAAAATACTTTTTCCATCAAATGAAATAGTATGCCCTTGAGATGAAAAGCTTAAAGGAGAATATTTTTATTAAGTGAGAGACTGAAGGGATCAGTAAGTTTAAAGCGTTCAAGTTTATCTTTATGCCTGCAGAATTAAGCAAATGCAGAAGTGATGCAAAGCTGAAATACAGTTTTAAAACTTTCTGAAGTGAGGATATCTGTCTCCAGTCTGTCCTTTCTAAAGGATGCGTAATCTGAGAAAGGAATTTCTCTCTTTTTTTTCTGTCTGTTTTGTAATCTTAACCCACTGTCCCACCAGTGATGCGATTTAGGGGACCTTTCCAGGCCGAATTGCAGGGTTCTGTGCCTTGTTTATTTATGATGCAAAGTAAGTGTTTCTGAATGAACAAAACAGGGCAGCATTAAAAGCCCTAACAGAAAAAAGTTAGATGACACCTTCAATTTTATTTTTTTTTTTCACCCGAGTTGAGAAAATCAATTCCTATGTTAAAATTTCTTTCCACAATCATAAAATATGGGTTGTTTACTTTTTTTAGGGGGAATGGGGAGGCCGGCATATGTTGAAGGGGAATTATGCATTGGCTGACCAGGTTTTGCTCCTGGGTCCTGAGTCGTTCCTTTTGCTTTTAGTGTCTCAGATTCCCTTTCTTTGGCCAGTGGCAGGTCTTGTCTGTCTCTGACAAACAGCAACTGCGCCGGACTTGAGTGTCTGGGGAATTGCATCAGTGTAAAAGGGCTAGAGTAGAGACTTATCAGGCATCTGATACCCAAGTTACCTTTATGTGCCCTAAGGAATTATTTGGATCCAGAAGCTCCCTAACCTAGCAGCCACAAAAACTCAGAGGTGCCTGCTGCTCCCGCGATGTTTCCCTGCGTGACTCGGACATTTCGTAAGCATACCCACTTTTTCTCTCACCAATGTCTAGAATTCACCTCCGGTGAGCCGGTGGGTTCAGGGCTCTGAGCTAAGCCTTGCTCCAGCAGCGCCCCAGTTTCCCCAGTGGCCTAATCCTGCAGAAATGATCAACTCATTCCAGTAACCTCATCTTTCCCCTCCTCCTGCTATACAAAGTATGTATTTATGTATTTAAAGTGATTGCTGCTGTGGTTGACTTACATAGTACAGCGAGAGAAGTGGCAGATAGCAGTGCGTGTAAGTGAGAAGCTGTGGGTTTGCGGCTGTTACCTGCTTGTCACTGCTGTCTACTTACTTAGCCGCCTAGCCTGCGTGACTGACTAACGTTTCACACACTGGTAATCACAAAACCCACTCTACTTAGTATTTCACAGGTTTATGTTTTCTGAATTTGAAGTATGCAGACATACTGAAAACGTAAAGAAACTGGAAAAAAAAACAACCAACCAACAATAAAAAAACACACACCCCCCTTTTCTTTTCTTTTCCCCATTACTGTCGAGCAGCAAGCAATACAATCTAGTCAGATGGATACTGGGTTGGGAAGAATGCTGTGATTGTCTTGATTCACTTGGAAGAGCTCTGCAGGATTTTTTGCATCTTTCATTAAAAAAAAAAAAATTACTAATGGACAAAAGCAAAAATGAAAAGCCTTAATCCAAACACTCACTTCATACAGAAGGATTTTTAAAATGCACCAAATTAAATAAAATGTCCTGCTGCCTCAGCCATAAACCATGAGAATAAATGCAGGATAACCCTTTTTTTGTCCCTTACTATTTTTGCAATTAGTTCACTTTTTCTCCTGCAGAGAGGCTGCATGAAAGGTCTTGTTATTTGTGGCTGTGATAA